CTCAGCATAGGAAGTGCTGAGATTTTTCTGAGTGGTGTTAAATGCTCTGACTTCTCACCATGGCTCTCAGACAAAATTTATGCCCTGTTCTAACTGGGTAACCATGCTGTTGTCCCAAACACATTAGGAAAGATAAATTGTTTCTATAAGTTCGAGTAAGTGATGCATTGTACATCCATCTGTTAATGAATGGATAACAGTCCTTTGTAGTTTAAAAGGAGCTTTGTTTGTTCTTAATGTGAACCAGCTTCATAATGAGCTGAACTGAAGTATTCTGTGTGTGTGTATAAATAGTCAATTTAGTTGATTGTTTCCTAAAATGAGCTAGATTGGTAGCATCTATTTAATGTCTGATTCTGGTCTCAATAGAGCCAATTGTTTTCTACTATGGAATTAAGTAGGAACTGAAGTAGGACTAGTCTATGTTTTATTGCAAATTCTATATTGAGGGAAAAAAAAAGAACAGAAAAGAAAAATAATTTCAGATTTCCTTCTTGTAGCTGAATTGTGCTAATAATTTTTCTGCACTTAAATCCCCTGGACTCTATCTTTTCTTTTCTGCTCCATGAAAATTATTTCCCAGAAATAAACTTATTTTGGTTTAGATACAATAACTATACCTTGTATTTTGTGAATTCAGTTTCTTAATATCCCGTAAAGGTGTACAGTAGGGGAACTTGATTGTCTCCTTGATCAGAGTCTTGAAATGTAGTTTCTACAGGCTTTGTCCTTTGGTAAGTTTCTCTGTATGTAACTGGAACTCTTCCTTTTCTCTTAAAGAAGAATTTAAAGTTATTAAATATCTTAGTATATTATTTGCCACTGGCTTATTTTCTTTTTTTTTTTTTCCAGCTATACTCAGATGAAAAAAAATATTAGAAGGATACTCATTTGTCTGAATGTGTCAGTCTGTTGCTTCTGTTTTACTTAGCTGCTGGGTGTATTTAATCTTCCATTGACACAGGCCTGCTTTTGCACATGATCAGAGTATGCTTGTGGGAGAGCACAAGACCCAATGTGATACCTAATCACATATCCAGTGTGATGCATTTTGTCAATAACATTAAGCTACAGTATTGATTGAAATTTAGTATTTGATTTGACTGACATTTATTTAGGGCAGAAGTATTATGCTTATTTGGCTTTTTTTTTTTTTTTTTTTAATTAAATATGCCAAACAGTCATCCTGTGGAATCTAGAAATAGTAAAACTTCTCTCTCTATCAGCTGTAGCTATTAAATTTTGCATCTCACTCCATCCTATTAGGGGAATACTCATAACAGCACTATTTATATATACACTTAAACGTCAAGTCAGGCAGAAATTCACAGAGAGTTTTTCTGTACAATGAAAGGATATTTCAAAAATTACTGAGGGTTCACACACATTTTTATAATCTTAGTCAAAATAGTATAATTTACACTTGCAATTTGGCCTTGTTTTGCACCTCTCTAACTGTCTGCCTTAAATCTTTACCTGCCTTCATCTCCAAGTTGTTAAAAAGGTGCCGGTTCAAAGATTTCTGATTTTTTCCTTCTTTCCAATCTGTTGTAGACTTTTTAGAATGTCTCTCACATTGGGCAGTCTGTTTTTACTGACTGTCGTTTGACCTTGAGTCAGAGTGTCACATGTCATTACAGAATTGTAGATAGAGGTCATTAGGTATGAGGTCAGACCTCAAGATATTTTGTAGCAAATTAATGTTTTAATGTTGACAATGGTTGTTGGTCCAGAGACATGACAGAAAATGAGGTGCTTAGACAAGAAAGATCCATTAATTTTGCACTAAAAGCTCCTCTAGTTTATTTATTATGGATAAACCAAAATACCTGGAGATTCTTTAAAATTCTCATACACATCAGTTGTGACCCTTAAGGAATCTGAAAGAGATTTAAGTTGGTAATGAATACTGAAATGGAAATTAATTATTCATAGGAGTAAATATTTAAACATTCATAGAATGAAACATAAAGAACAATTTAACACAATCATCACTAAAAAAGGTGAAATTGTAGGTTCTAAGATTGGGAGGAGACTGTATCTACCAACAAAGTGTGAAAATTATGCATTATAAGTCAGATTTTTTTTTACTCTAATACTCTCTTCCATTTAAGATTCTAAGAGTTAATAAAGAAGTGTTTTTATGATCATACATGATATACTATATTTTAGTCCCTTTAAATGCACTGGAAAAAAATACCTGAAGCATTTAGTGACAGTGAAGAATGATTTATGTATGACCTTTGTTTGGTTTGTTTTCTCTAAAAAGCTTTATTATCTTTTTTTTTTCTCAGAAATATCTCATCTTCTAAATAAAATATCAAAACATTCAGTTTGAGTGACTGCTACTGCTTCTTCATTCCACTGTTACTCTTTATCCATCGTAGTGTTTTTGAAACATCTTACAGTCTCTTCTCAGTGCCCATTTTCTGGGTTTTAGATATATTTCTCTATTTTAATTAAATGTTGATTTTTGTTTGTTTCAGTTTTGCTTTTTGAAGTGAGAATAATTGCCCAAGTTTAATTTACTTGGTATGTCTATATTTGTAATATTTGATGATCCATTATTATGCCAGATCTCAGCTGCACAGGAGTGATCTATATTTTTGAAGCAGTGGGGTATCTAGAGATGCTTACAAAGAGGCATTTCCTAGCCAGCAAGAAAAGACACTAAAATCTATGTATTCAATGTATGCATTTGTCAGGCTTTGCACTGCAGTGCATGTGACAAGTCATGTGTTCAACCTGTCTGCTGTAATGTGTTTTGGCGAAACAAAATAATAAAAAGTATATTTAATCAACATAATGGGAAAGGCAAAAGGTTTCTCAATACACACCATTTCTCAAAAGAGACAAAATTGTGTTTATTCAACATAAACAAGTACACTGAGAAGTGTTTTGCTGGAGAAACTCTTTCAAGCTATTTACTTAAAGTGTGAAAGAGCTTTATTAGCCTGAATATGCTTTCTCTTGGACTGTTCCTCTCTTGAATTTCAATAATAGCTAAACTCTTGTGAAAACATACTTTCAGTAAATGTACATTTATTAAAATGCAGATGGTAAAATTGCTGGTAAATATAACTTTGTCTAAGACAAATTAATTACATTTGCATATATGTGCTGAAATGAGGCATTCTTTCTATAAGCTGAGCCTATCCCATCTGATACTTCAGAAAGGTCCTTGGCATGCTTTATAGCTACATGCTGGATTTCTTGAGTTCCAGAATTTGAACTCTGTCAGTCTAAAACCATTGAGTAGAGCATGTTCATAGGAAAGTCAGCCAGGAAAATTAAATTATTTATTATTTATTTATTTATATATTTATTATTATTATTATATTTATTATAAACAAATTATTCTGTCAGCCTCTGCCACCACCTACCTTCCCCAATCTTATAAATGGTCCAGACTTTCAGTTCTGACCTCAGATATCTCCAAATATTTCCTGAAATTATATCTATTGACAAATCATATGCCAGCCTCTGTCTGTTTAAATAAGGCCATAAAAATGCTAAAATTATAAATTTTTAAAATTATACTTTTGTGGAAACCTGCAGGATCCTTACTGATGAGCTATACCCCATTGTGCACAGTTATTGCAAGGACAGGTACATATGCTGAAAATAGGTGAGGAAAATAAGTCTATGAGAGTCCATCAACAGAAGAGAGAACATGGCATGTTATGTTCACAATTATGTTTCAGAATGGAATATTTTAACATTATAGGCAATGACCTGTATACATCTACGTATACATATAACAGATTTAAAAACAAATTCATGGGGATATGCTGAATGAAACAAACATTCCAGTTCTGCCATAATTGTATTATTGTTAAAAAATAAAAAAATTTAATAGTATAGCGGGAAAAATTATTGGTTTGCTAAGGAATTTGAGCAAATAATAGATAAGAATATTCTAACTATTATACTGCAAGTCAGCAATATGAAGTATGAAATACAGTTTGACATACAGCTCAACACCAAATCTGCAGAATATAATTTTATTGGTCTTGCTCTCAAAATAAAATAATGCAAGCATGCTCCACAAATCACTAAGTCTGAAACATAACTCATTCTCAAGAAGATATTTGTTGACTTGATGTTTGTACAGGTTTTGTTGCACTGTGAAATCTGTGTTCCTTACACAGAGGAAGAACTGCATTGTAAACTGTGACAGATTATGGCAGAACATCACTTCCGATATTATTAAAGGGGGTTGTTTTATAGAATGCTAATGCTGAAAAATGTTCAAATGCATGTAAGAAGTTAAATACCTACCCTATCCTTCATCTCTAAATATTGAATGACCTGAAACAATTCTGAAGAGCACGGTGATTATATCTTTATTGATACCCATTTGATGTGCCATATATTGGTTTCAGCTGGATTTAGCACCTATTATATATAAATATATAAGTATATATAAATAAATAAATATATATATGGCTCTAATATTAACTATTCTATTTAATGTCACTTGGAAAGAACGCTAAACTTCACGACAGTAAAATTGTCATCGAAGCGTAGTTCTTACTGGACTGATGTAATAATGTTACACATATATCTATCAACCTTTCACTGTTAGAAGCTACTGCAAAAAAAATTAATTGGTCTTTAAAGGCTGTATGTAGTCCCGTTATTTTGGGCATTCACATAAGCATATGGTTCAATTTAAGAGCACTTGTAGTCAGACCACAAATTTTAAATTGGGCCCCTTACAAGAATGAAGTTGAGAGAGTAACACCATCTCGTACGACACACTGTGTGTTCTGCTGAGGGCTATCTGCTCCAAACACCTGGTTCATGTGTGTAGCTTAGTCCCACCTCAGCAAAAACCAGTTCTGAAACATTTGCAGTGTGACACAAATGCAAACACAATGTGCTTATTCACTCAGAAAAAGGTCTGCCCTGAAAACGCCAGGATAGGCTGTTCAGTATATGCGAGACAGCAGCTGAGCCCATTTAATTATAGTAAGGAGTGTATGTTTGGTTTCCAGGATCAGTGGTTTTGGCGAGTCAGAAACAACAGAGTGATGGATGGATACCCCATGCAGATTACCTACTTCTGGAGGGGACTGCCTCCCAGCATTGATGCAGTTTATGAAAACAGTGAGGGGAATTTTGTCTTCTTTAAAGGTAAGAAAGAACAAAAGCGAGATTTTGTGTAACACCTTTGAGTGTGATGATTTCTTGAAACACATCTTGTTTATTTTTACTAATGATTTGTAAATCTTGTTGCAAATTGGTAGCTAAATGAAGAGTATATAAGTTAACATTTTCTTGTTTGGCAATTACATTTTAAATTTATAATTACCTTTCACAGTATCAGGTCATTTGCTCTTACATATTCAATAAAAAATTGAAAGTATAAATATGAGATATAGAAATGATCTGCTATGAAATAATTTTTTATAATATGTTTTAGGAAGACGCAATGAACACCTTTCCATTGTTAATTTTTGTGTTGTTCTCTTTTATCTTCTTCCTTTTCACAAATGAATTTCTTATATACTTAAATGGAGCTTCTGATTATATACCTCACTATGCTGCAGTGTATTTGTTTAATCTCAGACCTGTGATGTTAGGAGTTTTATGTGGGGAAAAATAACCTTTTTCATAGACGTGTATTTAGTGTTTTCAAAGAAGCATAAACTCCAGAAAATAGGTGATATAGATCAAATTGTTGCTAACAATTCTTTCCAAATTTCACTCCAGACACCAGCTGTTCTTCAAAATTCAAGTTCTTCAACATGTACCTAATTTAGATTTAATGACGAAGTTATCTTATGTTTAATAAATGCATACTTAGCAACAAGTCTGCAAATTATGCAAAGTATGTTTTCTAAAATAATCATTTGAGAGAAGAAGAAACTGAATAGCTAACAAATAAGTGAAAAAATATTCAGCTGTTTAGTATTGTGAATGATTAATTTTTTAACTCATTACAAAAAAAAGGTGGATTTTTAAAAGTTGTTATATTAAAAAGATTAGTTCATTTTTACAAGTGGAGTCATTAATAGGGAACTAGAAGCAGTATTTCATTCACTAAGGAAACAGGATCTTGGATATTTTAAATGAAAAATATTTAATAATATGCAGAAACACTTCATAACAGTGCAATGAAGTTTATGTTTTGCCAATAGTGAAATTGTAGTTTCTGTGTGAATCATAAGGAAAATTACATTCCATATAGTTAATTTTCTATTTATATTACTTCAATGCAGCAGATGCTTTTACTTCTTTTGCCATAGAATAAACTTCAATTCACTGACTCTGGAAAGTTTATATATTTGGGAGTAATGATCAAAGTATCCCCAAATCTCCATCCCACTGGTTGATTTTTAGGTCTGTAGCACATGGAAGGGTAAAAATATTATTCTGTAGCTATTCCTTTGCACCATGTCTACAAAGAGCAAAGTAGCTACCCTGGGCATTCCAGACTTCTGCCTTGATAATGCCGGGATCCATTACCTGACCTCCAGGCAGCAATTATCAAACCTACTCTTACAGCTGCTTTCTTTTCCTTCCCAGTGACCTTGAAATATGTTTCATCATTATTTAACTCTTCACCTACTGCTGACTGGCTCCTGTTAGGTGTTGGAGGAATAGGTTGATCCTGTAGTTTGTGGGTTATAGATAACAAACAACAGAAGAAGGATGGAACTTCTCTATTTTCTCTGTGGGAAATTAAATCAAGATTAAGTAAAGCAAGCAGGAACAGCAGGATTGTGCTCTTAAAAGTCAGAATTGTGTTTTCCTTTCACATCATTCCCACCTTTTGCTATTTGATTTCAGATCAGTTAGTTTTGTGCCTTTTAGCTGATATCATATGATATTTGGATATTCTTCTGTAGATATTTTTCCATATGACTTCTTTTCAAAGTTCCTTCCATTATTTTTCCAATGATATTTGTATTATCCCTTTATTTGCCAAGGCCAAAATTCTTTGTATTTCCTTGTGCGATTTTTAAAAAAGATTTTGCTTCTCTACCATGTCTTCATAACTCTTAATATCTAACTCTTGGTGTTTTCTATCAGTATAATTCATGTTTTTCCACTGCTACAAAATCAAAAATTTCATCTGAGTCTTCTGTGTGGGTGTCCTTGAAAATTTCTGTTTCAAGGATCTCGACTGCCTTGTGGAACAGGATTACAGAAGTCTATATAAATAGGCTGTAGGTAAATGATCATTGTCTAATTTCTTCTATTCCATCACAAAATTTCCTGGGAAAAGAGTACATGTCCTCCTCCCAAAGGTGCTAGAAATAGACAACTTGATTGTTGCTAAGATGGTGAGCAAGTAGAATGTCTCATCCAGGTAGTGTGCTTTACCAGTCTAAACTTGGTCCAAACAAATAAGTTCTAGAAGGAAATTTAAATCTGAAGTCTAGCATACAGATTTTTTGTGTTAACAAAATACATTCCTAAGTCAATGTCTACATCCATTATTCATAGAATAAAATAGAAAAGGTGGTTTAAGTGCCAGCAGAGAACTTGTACTTAGATTAATGTCACTATGCACTCCTCTGATCCACACTATAGTGTCACCTGTTCCTGCTCTCCCTTTAGTGCTGACCCATAATATACTACAAATATACAGGCTAGACATTAGGAAAAATAAAATTCCTCACAGAAGGAGTTGATGGATGGGCATTGGAATGGGCTGCCCAGGCAGGTTCTGTAGTCACTGTCCCTGGAGGTGTTTAATAAAAGACTGGATGTGGCTGTGGTTTAGTTGATAAGGTGGTGTTAGGTCATAGGTTGAACTTGATGATCTCTAAAAGTCTTTTCCAACCTATCTGATTCTGTGATTCTGTGACAAGTTCCTCATCGATCCCAGCAGAGCTCCATGCGCTCTAGCTGGTCATTGACACAGACAGCAACACCCCTGCTATGAATAACGTTCTGTTTTTCCAATTTATCAAGCAACGAGATTAAATGTAGCAGCAAATTTTTAATAGCAAAAAATGAATACAATCAAAGTATTAGAGATGACAATTAAAGTATATTTGAGAATATACAAAATTTGGCAGTAAGTAGTTTAGTATAATTGAGGTTCGTATAAAGCATAAGCAAAACCGACTGGGGAGGGCGCCCCCCACCGACCAGGGATACAGGGAGGGACTCACCCCTCTCACCTCTCTCACCTCTCCTTACGTACCAAAGCATCAAGGCTACCAATCCCACTTATATACTGTAGGCTACAGAAGTTTCTAGAAAACTCCTCCTAGTTTCTTTCCTAAAGTCTGTGTCACTATGTTGTATGGCACATGCTCTACTAATGGGTTAGGGGGTCTCTCATCCTTTTGAGGGTCTTATTTCCGACGAAGGCTCGTCGTCTTCCTCAGTGACCGAGGTGTGACCTGCAGGTAGCTCAGGCGCACTATGGGACCGAGCAGATGTTTTCTATAACAAGACTCTAATTAAATCCCATGCCTGGAATCGTCCTATTTTGGCCCATTTCAAGATCGAAACTTTCTATTTCTAGATGCTGCTTGTCAGACCTACGTCCTTCTACTATTCCCTTCTAACATCCTTGTTCGACTCCCAACATCTGGAAGATGTTCTTTGCCCTGTCTCACCCATCTCCCCCCTCACCCTGTAACAATTGCCTTCTATTGATCTAAATACAATTTTGCTAATATAGTTAATGCGAATCACATTTATCACAGCCTCCCTGCCCATCCTTTGTAAAGAGCCAGTAGACTTCCATGCTAATATTTCATTCATAGAAGCCATCCCACCATGTCTGTGATGCTGGTAAGATCACAGCCCTGCAGGTGTGCACAAATTTCCAAGCATATCCCCAACTCCTGTTGCTTATTCCACATAATACCTGTGTTTCCATAGAGGCATTTAATTTGGTGCCCCCCAATGAAACCAACTTAATGGCTGGAGTGGCTGGAATTCCTTTGTGGTGTTTCAGGTGCTCTCCTGCTGACCTGTAATCTCTCTCCAGGCTCTGGACATCTCTTGCTGGCACTAGCATCAAACTGGTAGGAGTAGAATGGATTGAGGTTCTTCCTCCACCAGCAACTTTAGTTAAAGCCCTCTTTACCAGCTTGGCAAGTCCATGGCTGAGATGCTCTTCCTGTTCCCTGCCAGATGGACTCATCAGCTCCCAGTAGACCAGACCATACTCATAAAGTACAGAACAATCTGGTGGATAGATGCTTATAAAAAACAGGTGTTTGAATTCTTGTTATTATTCATTGCCAGTGTCCATACTGAATGATAATAAGATGGCATTAGAAAGACACCTTTTTATTTTCTTTTTTTTTTAATGAGAAAACATGAATAGTAAAATTAATTCTGTGTACCTTTGGGAATTTATATAGTGCTAAAAATGAAATTGTCAAGCCATCTGCACTGTTGAATGTTAGGGTAAACCAAATGTAGCAATAGAAAGGCTGCTGTAAAATTCATGCTACCAGTGCCTCCATCATAACATTCTATTGCACTTACAACATGTCCTGACAGTTTTATATTGAAAAATTGATTTACTATAGTGTCAGATCACGGAACAGAGAAATGACAGAAACTTGATGTGGGAAATAGGGAATGGGGAAAAAGGAACCATGAATATTAATTTTAGGATACTAGTAAAAAGACTCAAATTAAGAGGAATGTTGACTGAGAAAAAACATTCAGGATTAGATATTAAAATTTTAACTGATTTAAATTACATATAATTGTTTAAAAGTTCAAGAAATCATCTCACCACTCGAATACAGTGATTCGTGTACTACGCATATACCATAATAGCAAATAATATGGACAAAAAACCCAGAAGCATAATTATTCAGAATTCAGATTCTATAAAGGAAGAACTAGTTACTAAAATATGCTTATTTGTTGGCAGTAGTCAGTAGGAAGTTAAACAGTCTGAAGAATATCTATAATCTATAATATCTATAATATTGTAATTTTAAGTGAAGCATAACAATACAGATGTCCTTTATTTCTAGTACTTTTTTTAGAATGGCAAAGATGGTATTTGAGAGACTTCAAATAATTCTGTGGTTCATCCTTCTCAGCTGTTTCCCTACAGTGATGATATTTAACAAAGCATTGTTTCAAAAGAAGACATTTTAGCTTTTTTATCACTTGCTTCACTCTCAGCTTCTGACCTTGCCAATCTGCTTCTTATTACATTAGACCTTACATTAGGGAATAAAAGCAGAGAGATTAAACATTCTGAAATTTCAGACTTCATGAAACATGTGGTGCTTTATTCTCTGTGAGAATAACAAACCTACCAATGAGACCTTAAAAAAACAACTTTGCAAAATAAGCAGAGTGGTGGTTTCTGCCAAGGGCATAAGTTCTGACTCCAAAGAAGCATTAGTTATCTATAAGAAAAATAAAAATATGACTAGTTTTGTCATAATTCTTTCCGTTATGATCACAATTAATCAAGTCTTATTGACTATTTATTAGTGGAAGTGGAGTATGAGCTACATGAAAGCATACTGACTATAGCATTAGTTTGTACTACATTTAAAGTTACATAAATAATGTTAGAAATAAAATTATTCTCATCACAGTTGGGCATCATTTGCACTGATTTTCAGCTTTAACTTCTCCTAACACTGGGTTCTGATCAATATTCTGTTGATCAGATCAATTCTCTGATCAATAGTCACCCACTTTCCTTCAGGTGACAGAGAGAAAAAAAAATCAAAAACAACAAGACCAACAACAAACCTAAAACCTCCTTAGAAAAACCAACTAAACAAAAAACTGAAGTGAAAACTGTCAGCGAGATGGAACATTTGGATTTCTTATATACAGTACTTCTCATTAACAATCAACACAGTTACAGCAGACTAAACGTGTCTTCTAAAGGAAATGTTAAATAAAATTCCCTCTAGTTAGCATTAATAGGTCTTGCTTACATATGTTAGAGCTCTCAATGCTCCCCTGTCTCTCCAGAATACAGTTAAATTTATCTTTTCTCTGTTTTCTAAGAAAGAAATTGCTTCTTAGTAAGAAATTATGTGAAGAATTCAATTTCTTATGTCTGTTCCCACATCTGCACTTTCCTTTTACTTCAGTATATCTGAATATGCAAAAAATACATGGTTCAGTGGTGCTGTCACTTACAATGGTTTGTGCATAACCATTTTGTATTTTGGTGTGACCTGATCTTGTTAATATTTAACTTTGCCTCCTTGAGTATGGCTGATAATGATCTATTCATAACAATTGCTTTGACTTTTATTCCTTGTGAGGCACAGAGAAAAGTATTGGCATTACATACATCACAGCATATGCCTCTCAATGCTGTGCAACAGCTGTCATTTTGAATGATCTTCTGAAACAGAAATAAGCTGGCCCGGGATCATTCACTGAATGCCATCTGTTATTCACACCATAAGTACCAGCTAGTAAGGTCCAAAACGCATGACTTTTCCTACCATTGCATTTGAAACTGCCATTAACATCTAAAGCCTTCTGCATCCAGTCATGTAAATTGGCAAAAGATAAACCACAAGGGAGGAGGGACAGAGAATGTTTGAAGATGCTCACCTCTGTCATTATCAAACCCTATAAATGAATTTTTATAAGGCATCTCAGTAAAGGTAAATCTCAGGTTAGCAATGACCTTAATCCCAGGTCAACAGAGAACTCAGCTTTCCATGACTGCTCTTCATAGATCTCTGTGTCTCTTTTATTTTCAGTACTTCACATGTCTCTGTACATACTCATTCTTTGAGTCCTTTTTTACTTCAACTGGCAGGGGAGAGAAAATGGATCTGTTGAGTAAACTGTAGTGTGTGTGCTTGAAAGTGGGTGACAAGCAGCTGTAAAGAAGCTGATAAAAAATTAACCCTGGAAACACAGCATGGGAGGGATGGAAACTATACCCCCTCTCCTAATTAAAACTCTGATAAAATGAAAACATGCTTTAAATCACCACAGTACAAACAGTGAGATTAAAAAAACCCTTCCTTTAAACAAATGTTTAATACCACAGAGACATAGCTAAAATATAAAACTAAATGCAAAACAGTTCTCTGGATTTTCCCTCTTGATGATTCTGGCATACACCTGATCCTAGGTCTTTGGGGTAATATTACATTTCCTTGTAAAATATTTATCCAACACAATACCTTAACCCCCTAAATCTGTAAAACAGCCTATTTTAGCCATAAAGGTAAGTACAAAAAACTAATGTGAGCAGCCATGATTTTATCCTACATGCGCTTTCCAAATGTGTTTGAGCAAAATTTGTTTTCAAACTTTTCCCCTTATATTTTAAAACCTCATTGTCATGGATAGACCAAAGTGAAGAATCCAATAAGGCCAATTCAATATATATGTCTATGGATCTTGTCTAGAGTTTTTGTGATTTAGCTCAATGTGTCCATGTGATGTCAAAGAGTATCTTCTCCTTCAGTGTAATTATTATTAAAACTAGCAATGTTTTTTGGAAAAAATTATGATTGTAGTGCTTTGAAGAGAAAATAAACACATGGTTCTTTCACAATGGAGCCCTAGGCTATCATTCATATTTCAGACAGTAACCTGAGTAACCTGGATAATCTGAGGTTTGTGTAGACACGGTGCTAACATCTACTAGAGTCATAAAACTATCATGTATTTTCAGCACTTAATAAGTCAGTTGGGTGGTTTTGAATGATTTGTCACCTATAGACAAAGCTTAAGTCTTATTGCCACTGAAAACCCCCCATCATTTTCAGCGACAAAAGTTTTTCACCCCTGAGACTTCAGATTCTCAGTTTCCTGTCTTTAGGCCACTCTGAAAAAAATATGCTTAAAAATTAAATTCTATGGTTATTTCTGAAGTAATCATACATTCTTCTTAAGTAATTTAACTTCTTGAGGAGAAATACAGAATAATAAAAGTATCTGGTCTCTATGAGGCTTGACATTTCTATTTTAAATTTTTTTGGTGTTTTCTTAACTTATTTTCTTATAAAATTCACTCTTTCCTCATGAAACATAAAACTGCTGCATAGGTTTTCAGTAAATGTATTACATTATCAACCACACAGCCTTGTAAGATGATTTTATTTTTGATCTACTTTTGATCTCTACATAGTTGGTATCAAAATATTCTGTGGACTTACTTGAAGAAAGGTGCTTTATAAATGCAAGATATCCATAAGGCATATTTAATTTTGCATTATCTGTAGCGATGGAACATTTTTGATTTTATTGCATTTGGAAGAACTGCTACTACAGACCTTTGGGAGTCTTTCTTATTTCTTAGGAGTGCATTAATATTTTTACTGACATTACTGATGACTAACACACATATATATGTGTATATATATGCTTTTGTACAGGTAACAAGTTCTGGGTTTTCAAGGACACTACTCTCCAGCCAGGTTATCCTCATGATTTGATAACACTTGGAAGTGGAATTCCTTCCCATGGCATTGATTCTGCAATTTGGTGGGAAGATGTTGGAAAAACCTACTTCTTCAAAGGAGATAGGTTGGTATAGGATTTCTGCAAGGGAACAAGTCAGTGGATATCAGCTAAACATGTTTACCTTTTCCTCTATTTCTCAAAAGGATGAAACTAACTCCTCCTGCATAGGCTGTGCTGTTTTCACATGTCTCATAACCTAAATTATATTTGTGAATATCTTGGAATGGATATAAGTATATCCAGTAGAAAAGTTGCGTTTTAGAAGTCAACGGGCAAGTCACAGTTGTGGCAAATTTTTACTTAAATATTCAAAGTTATGTGTTTATGTACACTCTTACCTGTTTCTTTTTATCCACATTTCTAAACCCCAGCACACAGGCAGGAGAGGCATGATGCAAACCTTTTAATGTCAGTGAAAATAACTTATTTGCTACTATTTAATAATGAGGTAAAAAAGGGAACTCAGAGCTAAACTTGGGAGCCAGAGAAGAATTTGAGCATTTTCTTGGAATTGCTTCTAAATAAATCTTATAGGGACACATATTTATTATTATTATTATTATTATTGTTGTTGTTGTTGTTGTTGTTGTTGTTGTTGTTGTTGTTGTTAATAATAATAATAATAATAATAATAATAATAATAATAATAATAATAATAATAATAATAAAAACAAAGCACAACCTCCCAAGAAGACAAGCACAAAAAGAAAAGTAAAATCCAAGGGTTTTTCCATTCCTGGAATACTTATACCAGTCATTTAGTGTCTGTGTCTTTATTTACCTGACAATTAATAAAAAGGAAAGGAATATTTGTCTGCTTTATAGAGACATCAAGAGAATTTATTAATTTTTTTAAGCACTGTGAGTTGTCTGAATGATGGATTTTACAGGTTTTCAATATGGTGCTGTGTTTGTTGATTGATGTATCATTGTGCAAATTTTGTGCTCAGAGACAAATGATTCCTTATTAATAACTGTAATATTTAGATTTTTCTTATTAAAAGTATGGTTGCTTTTGTTACTATGTGGCACTTAGTGTTCTCAGACACTAATAGTATGCATGGATCACTTAAGAAATAAATTTAATGCACATCATACAATATGTTTAGGACAGTATAGTTTGTAATTTTTTAGCAAAATTGTAATTTTGTAAAAATTACACTACAGAATGCTGCAATAGATTTTATGGTCGAAGCTATTTTTATTATTTTAAAAAATACAGCTTTCCAATACTCGTGGTGAGGGAAGTCAATAACTAAGTCAGATTTTTGTAACTTTTGTAGGTATAATTTCAAGCAATCCATTTCCATAGTGAGTAGAAGATGCCTAAATAATTTGCTTCCTATGATTGAATACATTTTTTTTTAAAATTCAAATTATTTTTCAGGTAATAATTTTCCACCTCCCCACACATATTGCAAAAAGATGTAAATTAAGAATATTTTGTGAATTTTAATTCCTTTAGGCTTTATTCAGCAATGTCCTTTTATATTTCCATGCATAGGCAGTTGCTTATATTCAGGACTTTGCTAAAACATGATTCGTAATAACAGAGAAAACAGATACTGGCAGAAAAGTTGCTACTTAGAGCTAACAAGCACAATGAAACTCAGCAGGATATAAATGTAATACAGTATGTTAGAAAATTAAACATGAGCCTTGCAGAGATAATTGAGCCATTGCAGGATATTGACCATCAGTGGGAATAAACCCTTATAATAGTAAGTTTCTCAATGTGCATTGCTTATGACATCAAATATTGGCTATCAAATAAAAAAAAATAATAAAAATGACCAAATGAAAAAATTAAGCAAACAAGAAAATGCCATTAACCAAGCCAGTAAGAAGATTTAAAAGTCAAACCAGTAAGCAGTCATATGTCTAAAGCAGCTCATGTATGGAACATCATTATCTATTTCAACACTAATGATAATTCTTCCAAATAATTGTATGAAACCTAAAAAGGGGAAATAATTTACTACAGAGAACATTAGTCTCTCTGTCATTCCTGTCCTACCAAAACTGAGCCATTTGGGACTAGAAAATAATAAGTTTGAGGAATTTCTTGACTCATGTCCTTGTTTATGCCCCATTAATGGTCCAACTGGTTTTATGCGCTTTAGAGTTTAAATCAATGGTTTTTTTCTTCATAAAACTTAATCATCCAATGGCTCAGGATATCATTAAGTAAATAGGCTTAGACATAGAACATGGTTTAGCAAATATTTTCCAAATTCCCTTTTTCTAAAGCTATGTAGTGGACTTTCATTTTTTTCCTCTCTGTTATTTATCAGTCTTTGAGATACAGCAATGTTTATATAGGCTGTAGAGCTCATACCATCATTAGGGAGTTTTCTTGTGAATATTTGGCATGCCAAGTAGAATCAAGACTAGGCTTTTCCCTTACCTTGTAGACATGTTCATTATTCCAGCACTGATTGTTGAGGTGGCGTCGCGATCACTCCTTCCCTAATAGGATTTCTCATCAATGATGAAAACCCAGAAGTTTTGTGATTTCTGAGTGTGCACTGAGCATGTCCTTGCAGACTTTTAATGACAAAGTGTATTTTTAAAAGTCGTTCAGGGCTAGTGGAGAACCAGAGGCTATTAAAAGAAGGAGCTCAAAAAAGTGAAAAGATTGGAAGAGGAAAAGGAAAATGAGAGAAATTATGCAGGATGGAAATAGAGTTCTGGAATAGAGGGAGAGAAAAAGAAAATATATTTGTTTTTTAAAAAGTGCAAACTAAAGACCAAGAAGCTTAGATTTAAAAGGTGAGGAATAACTGGTTTCGTTAGTATTAATGTTAGAGCTTTGTTTACTACTTCTACATGTTGTTTCTGCATGTAAACTTTCAAAGATGTTACATATCCAAATAAAGAGCATTGTGTTGTTGGTTGGTAGCTGATGTATATGTGACAAGATTAATAATTGAGGCTATAAAAATTTATGCATAAGAAAGAAAAAATAAATACAAATGTCTTTTTAATCTAACTTGCCAACACTTAACCCACTTGAAATCTGCCATCTTTTAATTTCATTGAAAGTTTAAAGCCAGAGAAATGCCCTACAGGGAGAAATACTGAGGAGTTTAGACCACTATACTTTTTAAAAAAGATTAAAATACGAATCAGTTGGAGTGCCTAAGTACCTTCGCAGTGATAAAACATCATCCACTTAAGAATTTTTTAATATATGATGATCATAACAAGGATTTCTAAAAACTGCAGTCAAATGAATTCAGTTGAGAACTAGGGTCAAGTTTTTATCAGTAACCAGATTATCAATGACAGTGATAAAACTATGCTCTAAATTAATGGAGCAAATCAAAATATGAAATGACCCACCAAAATATTAGGATACACAGGATATTAGACATGCAATATTCTTAGAACCAACCTATAAGCTATGCATAGCAATTTGATCAGCAGTAAAAGGAAATAGAAATTATCAATATTACCTGTAAGTGTAAATACTTATCGGATGTTCAGTATTACTAGAATTGCATGCTGAAGCTTTTTAAGTTTGAGAAAGGCTGGCTGGCAAAAAGACACACAAACAGGTTGAATTTTATAATGCACTGCATCTATTTAGTGATAATGAAATGAAATTAAAAGCTACTGTAATGCATACATATGAAGGGTTAAATTAAGATCGCTAGCAGTATTTTAATCTGAATCTACTGTCACTTGCATTATTACATTATCATGAAAAACATTAATGTACATTGGTTTTTTGCATGTCTCTGTGTCACTGTGCAAAAGACCTAGGCATCAGAATTGTGGTGATTATAAGTGAGATGCATCCTGGTTTAGTTGTTGAAGTGCAAAAATCTTTTATCTTCTATCTACTTACATGAAACAGAAAATAGATTTATCTGTAATCTGGTAGTGTTTTCAAATAGAAGAAGTCCAATATTTCCACTTGCAGCTAATGAATGTAGCAAGTGTAGGAGGGGGAAAACATAAACTTACTCATCTGTTATCTTAAAAGTGTGCTTTTTTTTTCCTTTAAAAAATATTTCAGGTACTGGAGGTACAGTGAAGAAATGAGATCCATGGACCCTGGTTATCCCAAACCAATCACAATTTGGAAAGGTATCCCAGAATCTCCTCAGGGAGCCTTTGTCCACAAAGAAAATGGTATGAACACGTTATTGCTTTAATGATTTATTTACACCCTTTATGTAAGATAGAGTAGTAGAGGGATGATTGACTATTCAGATTAAGTAGTGAAAGAATTCTTGCTTCCTGAACAGAGTACTTCCTGTTCTAGAACTGGCTTTAAATGGCTCTTTGTTTGCATGTACTGTTTAACCTAGGGCTGAAAAAGCTTTCAAATTTAGTGTTATAAACCTTACTTTCCATTCTTTTTTTCCCTATGCCTTAATTTTCTTTGTTCTCTGCTGAATTACAGTGCCTCTTAAAACAAGCTTCATAAACACAGTATATCTGTATTGAACCTTCAAGATGTTGTCTTTTTAAACAGCTTAGAAGGTATTGCTTTCATTCTCAAAAGCTAGCAAAGAGAAGCAAAGTCTTTATCTAAGCAGAATTATCCAATAAATTTATGTAAATCAAAGATGTCATATGTCCATGATGTATAAATGTAGATAACAGGGATTTTAGTATGATGTATTATTAACTTTATCAAGATGCATCATCACATACCTAGAGCCTGGAGTCTCAACTGGACACACCAGAAAACAAATGAGCAGCAAAATCTCCTTCATCTTAGGAGAATTCAGTGCTGCCCAGGAGATGGTGGCCAGCTGCCAACAGAGCACTCAGTTGCACAGAGTTTTAGATCCTTTTGACAGGAATCAAAATATGCATTGTTGGACAATTTTTATATGGCATATATGATTTATTTATTAGTAGGCTTGGAATTTATTCTGTTTGACTCATAAGACAAGACACATATCTATTGCCATATTATTTTAATTTCCTTTTAATAAGAAAATGAAAAGATTTCTTTCCTTTTATGAAACATTTTAGTCTCCTATTTGAACTTCAAACTTGATTAAGTAATTTTCCATGGAAATGTTTGAGGTTTTTTTCAGAAATATGTTTAATTGCTTCCTTGCTCTCCTTCTGTTTTACCCAGAAGAAGAAACCCTGTCTGTATTTTGGCCTTTTTGCTAGATTGGATTTTTTGTGTTGCTTTTAACTGGAAAGTAGGTTAATCAAGGCTATATTCTGCATACATCACACTCAATAATTAACCATTTTCTAATTAACCGTTTTATATATATATGTGGAAATAGTCACAAATGTTATAGAAATACATATACATGTATATACATCTATATCTGTGTGTCTATCATCTATCTGTCTATATCTATATATATATGTATATGCACATATCTGTGTATATAAATATATTTATATATATATCAAAATATATTTTCTATACTGAACTCAGCTACATGTGCCTCCCATTAAAAATGAAAATTATCTTACTGTAACACCCAGACCATTGAAAGCACTGCAGAGGCAGAGCACTCATTCTTAAGGCATGAAAGACTTTTGCTTACATAAAAGGCACTTCTCTTTCTAACCCCAGTGGTTTTGATAGTCTGCCGAACTCTTTGGATGAGGAGGCTAGTAAAACATGGCATGAGATTGTGGAGGAGGTGAAAGGAAAGAGGGAATTCTTGAGCATCCCAGAAGTCTTATAAGGGCCCCAAGGCAGAAAAAGCGACTGAAAATGACACCATGAAGTTCCCAAGAAGACCACTAGGGCATTTTCCCTGAAATCAAGAAAGTCTTAAGAAGCAGTTCACAACTTTGCTGTTGTTTGTGTGGGGAAAGAAACAAAAGCAGATGCAAATAAGAAATATCACAGCTCAGTTGAACCTCAGTTCAGAATCACAGCTCAGTTGGCCAGAAACTGCTTTTATTTCTTTAGACAGAAGCAGAGTTGATAAAGAGCTTTTACTATAAATCTTCATAAGGATACATCTGAAAGCATATCTTTCAGGCAATCCATTTAATTTTAAAGTATATTTTTTCCTTCTTTTGTCTTTCTATTGTGTAACCTATGCAAATGAACACCTGCAGTGACTCTGGTCATGCAGAGGTTTCCTTCTGTGATGGCAAGATTTTTAGTAATCTTGCATTAAGAGTTTTGGAAAGGATGAGAAAAACCAATTTCCTACTCTAGTCAGTGTCCCGACTCTGTATCCTAAAAGCTTGGTAAGGTAATGGTACCATCTTTGAAACTCGTCCTGCTACTTCCCATATTGTGATTTGTTTTCTAACACTGTGGTAGAAACTCTTGGGAGGGGGTGGAGAAGAAATTTCCTTTCTTTTGCCACACGAATCTGAGATCACACAAAGTTCCCCAAATTGAAGAAATCTTTCTTTCTACCTTGACAGCAGCACAGAAAATTTAACTTCCCAACTAGAAATTCTGCTAAAGTGGATGGTGGGGAAATTTTTAGGTAGAAGAAAGAGAAAAGGTAGTCTACTTTATTAGCCCACTGTCCTTTTTTGCCTTATACTTACTATATAAGTAAATTTGAGGTAGTAGTGACTGCTAAGCCTTTCAGTGCTGTTTGGAACAGGTATTGCTCTCACTTCTCAGTGACTAGTACCTAAAAAAATTGTAAGGAGTAACTCTCAAAGCAGTCTTAACACATCTAGCAGATTAGATGAAATCACTTTCAACAATTGTGTGAAGTCATTTGTTCTGTCAAGAGAAGCAGTAAAACTACTCAGTCTCTTGTCCTTCTCTGCTGGTAGCTTCCATCTTTCAGCTGTAACTGACTATTATCCTGGTTGCTACATCAGCAAAAATGGCAGAAAAGTTTAAACTATGTTCAGAGTTTCCCAGTGGAAAATGTGCTCAAATTGAAAAATTGTATTGGATCTCTAGCAGCTGGCAATTCCTTTGCTACTTTAAGAGTTTTAATTTGACCTTTTACTGCAAACCAATTACTACTAACTAAAGTCTATATTTTGATTTACCTCTACCCGTGAGTATACATACATGTGTTCTGTATATATGCACGAGTGTCACATCTGTATATGGTCTCTATATATGTGAGTTTTGTTAGAGATAATACATCACATTTCCATACTAGAAATATTTATCCATGGTCAGGATGTGCAGTACTTTGGGAAAGGCATGTTTTTATATGGAATGCAAAGTGATTCAAAATACTGAAATTTTGCATTTGATAATGCTTTTCATTGAAACTACAGATTGCTTTAAGAACTTTATATGTGGTAAAATTTTAAAAATTTATCATATTTAAAGAATTCTAGTTCTCTTTTAAGTTTTATTCCAATCAAAATAGAAGGCATTTTCTGAACAAGTCTAGCTACTTTTTCGATACAGATCAGTAATTTTTGTTTGTTTGTTTGTTTATTTGTTTGGTTGGTTTTGTTGTTTTTGGGTTTTTTTTTCAAATTGTATTAGATCTTTCTATAAATCTACTACTGTATTTTCAGGTAATAAAAATGCAAGGGATTTAGGATTTTCTTTGGCTAGGAAGGCTATTTAAATTACAAAAATACCTAATGTAGAAGAATGATTAAATATTGAAGTTTTTCTGAAAAGTGGTAATAGATGATGAAGACTTTTCCTACAGTCTGAGCTGCAAAATAGACTATATTTTTTAATTTTTTTTATTTTTTTTTTAGAATTGAAAGAAAATAACGAATGGTTGAATAGGTGGTTAATGTTATCTCCAAATGGGCAGTTACCAGCCTTTTCAAAAAGCACTGTTAACTACAAATAGTGCCTAATCTGTCTTAGTAGCCTTTAATACTGCAGGAAATATATGAGATGTATAAAATGAAAATAAAAAAAATCCAGCTGTTTCCATTCAGCTCATAAATAGAAAATTCACCCATCCTGAAGGTTTGTGTCTTGCCAGATCAATGCCATTTTCCAGCCAGGTTAACAAAGTAATACAGATTTTTGGCAAGAGTCAAGTTTTTTTCTCAATTTAAACACATTCAATAATAACATTGGATTGTGCCTGAATGAACAAATATCAGATCTTTACAGAAAACTTGAATCTGGTTACACCTGTTTTCTTATGTGAAAGATGCTGTAATTTCATCCAGTCTCCTTCTGAAGTACAACAACAGGCTATGTGAGATTAAAGAGGGTCAGTTCTCATTTCTGGATAGCATTGCAATTTATTTTAGGAGACTTCCCATCTTGAAGAGGTTGTGATGCATTATTATCCTGTCCCTGAGGATTCTACCTCTAGTTGGTTTTCCAGTGAATGAACAAACTGGCCAAACCTTGAATTTTCCTAATTCCTATAATTATTTGATTCTTTTTTGTAGTAATGAAAGAAAATAAAATCCCAGTTTACTGAATGAAAGAACAACTAAAGAACAAACAAACAATAAAACCAAACCAAAACCCCCAAACTCAATGTTAGATTTCTAGAGACAGTAAAGAAATAAAATCTGTAAAAAAAACATTTGAAATGCCTATAACTGAAGTCTATTTCTTATGTGTTTTGATTTTTTTAATTACAAAAAGAATGATACCAGTAATTTCCATCGTGGTGTTTTGATGACATGGTTTCATATGACCATGAATAATTGCTACTTTCTTCCTCAGGCTTCACATATTTCTACAAAGGAAAAGAGTACTGGAAATTCAATAACCAGATGCTCAAGGTGGAACCTGGCTATCCCAGATCCATCCTCAAGGATTTTATGGGTTGTGATGGACCAACAGATCGAGATAAAGACCGACACAGCCCTCAAGATGATGTTGACATTGTCATCAAACTGGACAACACAGCCAGCACTGTGAAAGCCATAGCCATCGTCATTCCCTGCATCCTGGCCTTGTGCCTCCTTGTCTTGGTTTACACTGTGTTCCAGTTCAAAAGGAAAGGAACACCCCGCCACATACTGTACTGCAAACGCTCTATGCAAGAGTGGGTGTGATGTAGGGTTTTGGTTTTTTTTCTTTCCCTCCCAGGAGTTTGTGGTAACTTGAGATTCAACACAAGAGCTGTTATGCAGTTTCCTAGCTAGGAGCGGGCATCTGTCAGTCTGAAACAAAGCTGATCTTTAAAACCCAGGGGTTGCCTGTCCTGCACATGAGTGGCGATTCGCTCAGCTGGGAAGCTTCCATGATACACAGTATCTGCTGTTTCTTCAGTCCTTTGTCTTTCTTTGTCATTCAATTCTAGGCCTTCCCTCTGCACGCTCAATGCCCTATAAACTATCAGGATTAACTAACGAAGAGGAATAAAAATATCTCCAATGTTTCTACATTTTTCCCTTAAGGCCTGTTCCCCTTCGAAAAATTTTTTGCTGAAAGTAAATTTTTTTAGAGAAACACAACAACCAACAATGGAACTTTCAGGAAAGTGAGAAGACCCAAAACAGCTTTGTCTCCAAAGAGGATTGCTTTCTGTCTGCTACGGATAAAGTCCTATACTCCTACTTCCAGTTTTGTCAGGTGGGAGACTCGGATGACACGCAGGACTTCAGACTGTTCGGACAGCCATTTTCCAACAAACAAGGGGCCAAAATATCTGCAATATAGTAACAGCCTTAATACATTCATTTTGTGGTTTTTACAGCTGCTCTGGGCTATGTCCTCAATGTTTTAAACTCATATTCAATACTATATTCAAGCAGAACCTTTTTATTGGTTTGTTTGATTTCTGGTTGATTTTCCTACATTATCTTTCCCAAGCTGTACCAAGCCAACTACCCCAGGCCTTTTATAGGTCTGTCAGGAGCACTCATTCCAAAGAATGGTAAAAAAGCAGTGTGTCACTGAAGTGGATTTCAATGAACTAAAACAACAGACGTGCTATTGAGAAACTTGACACTGGTATTATATTGGTGGTGTAACCCTTTGAGAACTACTGCACCCAGTTTTCAGAGTCTGGTGGATGTTAATCTTGGTCATCATTAAATTACAGAATTGTGTTTGGGTAATACAAGTTTCAAAAGAAAATCAGTTTTCCGAAACAGATTTCTTGTGACTGCGTTTTTAATTATTTGCATTATTAATAGAAAAGCATTTGTAACATGAGTAGAAAACAAAATCTATTTACCAGCTACTTTCTCGTTAAAGGAACCAAACATGTTTTAATAATTTCTACCACTTACCAAGAATTTTTTTGAGCTGACAACAATTTTATAGCTTAGCCTCTTATCTTAAGCATCTTGGATTTCTCTCTTGAGACTATGTTGCATGACAATTTGATTTGCCTCTGCAGAGGTAGAGTCACAGTTTCAAAGGGAAGCCAAGAAGATGACTCTGATAGTGCATGAGTATCCTCTCGTGTGTTACCCCTTTGCATGTTCATCATAGTTCTCAAAGGGTTAAAATTTCTGGCCTTCAGTCAAACTTGGTATCAACTGACAGAGCCAAGGGACCACCAAAACATTTTGTCATTCTGTGTAATTTGTGCTAACAGCAGTATTGTCATTTTCATGTGACCTGCAGAGCAGGTTTGTATCAATAATTTTTTCCTAGAGAAAAGTCAGCAACTGACAGACCTCTTTATTGATTTTAGGAGCTGCTTCTTGCAGTGATAGGCTTTACAGTCACTGGGCTGTGAACTTATTAAAGATGGTCAGAATGATGCACCCCAAAAGTCAGACACCTGGTTTTTTATGAAAGCCAGGTTTTGAGGGGAGTAGCTTTTGCAACAATGAACAGCTTGCCTTGAACTTGATTATTGACCTGTTGACTGTCATTACCAAGTTAAACATTGTCTTCTGTGAACAGCTTCACTGTCTGAATTTCCTTAAAGTGTACTGTCCTATGTCTTTGACCTTTAACTTGCAAACTGGCACAAACTGAAGGGAATCTGGTGTTGCAAATGAAATGAGTTTTATTTCTTGAAAGGCCTGATAGACATGATCCAAAATCTGAGAAAAAAAAATTGAAGTGTTTTAGTAGGAGAGAAATGACATAGACTAAAATATTTATAATAGGTCTGTAGAAAGGTATTTTGCTATGTATACATGCACACTCTAAAAATGAATTACAGCAGAAGTTAACTTTTATTTAACTTGAATACAGTTTTCAGTATAAAATTATTATTTCTACAAATATCTAGTTATTAATGAAAATGATATAGGAAAGTATTAAAATACTTGAAATGGCCAGTATGGGCTTTTACATAAAATGAGACTTTTATACTACGTTCAACCAATTTCTTACTGGTTTCTTAATCTACATAACTGGATCACTTTTTAGAGAGTGTAGGTATATATACATATATATTATGATTATTATTGTTTTGGTAATGGATAGCTTGACTGCCTTGAATTTATATTTATATTGAGCATAGCATGAAAATAGTATGCCTTTTTTTCAATTACATGATTTTGTATTGATTTGAGGACTTATGAACATATGTGGCATGCTAGAAAGCATTGCAAACTTATTTCTTAGAGCATAAACAGATATACATATGTATGGTTAACAAAAATGAAGATTAGAAAAAGATATAGTTTTCAACAAATATGCAATGCAGATGGCATTTTGGAGATGTTTTGTAGAAGTACTGCGTACTGTAGGTTAGAAGCGCACCAGTATCAGCCCATAGCATTGTTTAGTAAATCCAAGTCAGTTGTTGCTGAAAATATATAGATTTGTTGACAATTTAGTTGCACAGGATTTTTGCTGCAGATCAGCTCATTTGGTGAATTTGAAATTCTATGCTGTTTGTAATATGTATTAAGATGTGTGTGTTTGTATACTTATAAAAGTACACAAACACACACATGCACAGACATGCACATTTTAATCCATTGAGAAATTTTTATTGTCAACAAACTACTATAACTTATGTTCTGCTATAGACAGAACAAAATGATTGATTTTGCTATTCCAATTTTTTCCCTTGGATAGTTGGAGGAAAATACTAAAAGAACTACTTATTTTGTATTTGCTTTTCCTCTACAATAGGAAAATTTATTTTATATATTTTTTAAGTCAGAACAGCATCTCATCAGTTTTTTTTATTCGCTTGAAAATTTCATTTCAATTTTGAAATATCTTTCATGGCAGCTTTAATTTTTTTCTGCAACCGTTTCCCTGACAGTAATGAAGTGCTGAGCATGTTGACTGTTGTTCTTTGATAAGGTAACAAAAATATTTGTGTTTGGAGAATTTAACTGTAATTATGCAGGAAGGTAAGTGTGATAATTCTAGTGCTTGGTATATGGTACATTGTAGTTACATGAATACATGATAAGTTGATCGTTGAATCTAATTTCTTTTACTTAAAAATGCATATATGCTATATACAGAGAAAGGGAGAAAAAAATTATATTGGCATGTTTATGTCATGCAAAGCAAGATTGTGTCAACATTTCTGTTGCATACTCATGTTTTCAGTAGGTTGTAACGCAGTCATAAAGGTTTGCTTTAAGTAAAAGATGTAGCAGCATTTGTGTTCACTGTAATTTCCAAATACATACTGGCTAGTTTCAAATTAGAGAATTTCAGAGTAAATTAGTGATGTTGCCTGATCTAATTTTGAACTTAAATTCGTAAAAGTTCTAAGACAATTTTATTTTTTTGAATAGTTGTTTCTCTACAAGGGCCTATGATTATCAGAATTAAGAAAAAGTAAATTGAAAACATTTTCGGTTATGCAATCTGGGTTCCTGCTCATGTGCCGCAACTTTTTTAATAAACATTTCCATATTGCTATTGTCATGATCTGTACTTTGGAACAATACAAAACTGAATATGTGTTGTGTTAATCAGCTACAGTCTATCAAGCTGACTACACAAGGTCAAATATCTTCAGAGTACTATGGTCTGTATGATGCAGAAGGCCAGAGTAGATTATGGCAGTGTTTCCTTTGGCCTTTCAATATCTAAACCTATGAAAAGGTTGTAGACAAAATTAATTTTTATCAAAAAAAATTAAAAATATGTAACTGTATATTTACTGGATAGACTGGGATGGAGAGACTCAAATGGCTCCAAAGGAGCCCTTTCAACTCTCCTGAATAAATGTAATACATATTTTATATATTCCTATGAACTTTTGTTCTTTTTCTTCTTTCGAAGTGGGAAAAGGGAGGGGATAATTAAAGAAAAAAATTTATAAGGCTAGTTTTGTGAATTAAAGTAACTTATGCTAATACATCCAAACATAAGGGGCAGACTTACACTTTTTCTTAGAAATATAATTCAAATCCCCAGTTGCTTGATCAAGAGTCCTGTGCCATTAGCACTGTGGGTTAAGAACAGGGTGTAAGGCTTAATTTTTGAATTTTCAAGTTTTTTGGGGGTCTTACTTTACAATCTAAATGTCAGTTAAATGTAGCTTTTGGTACCAAATTATATAGAATTTAATTCTAGCTTGTTGGTTAGAAAAAAAGTGCATAGCCTAGGAAGTCGGTCTGCCTATTAGCAATGGAAGCATTTTATTACTTTTTTTTTTTTTAACCCATTATTAGGACAAATCTTAAAACACACACATAGTAAAGTGAACAGTGAATGTTCCAGGCACTGGATTTTTAAGGAAGTAGAAATGCAAGCTACCATACCATTAGCAGCCTACTTTGGAAAAAGCATGAGATGACTGGGTGGAGGAGCAAGGAAATGACTGCAGGGGCTTGCTCTGTCCTGGCTCCTATATCTCCTAAAAACATGGCCTAAGTTTCATCACCTTTACAGAGGTGAAGGAAGCCATGCACCATGACAGTGGGAGATGTGAAGCTGCCATTACAGAACAGTAGCTCCCAATTTGCCTTTTGTTCTTGTCAAGACCGTCTCTGGACACCTCTGTTTCCAGAAGTATAAATAGATGACTTCAGTCTAAGAGTTATAAGGGAAATCATTACTATCAGCCGAGAAAAAAATGTCACTGGCCACTTAGGTGTCTAGCTATGCTGTAAATCAAAAAGTATTGTCTGGAAGCTGAGGAACAGATAACCTGTTATTCAGTACAATGGTATAGTTGTGATACCCCAGCACTGTAATGTTAGGCATACTTCCTTAGCTCCTACTTACACAGACTGCAGACAAACAGAGTGGTTCTCATGAGATAAGACCATTTAAACATATGTCAGTTACAAAATCAGGTATAAATGAACCATGTGCTCATAAAATTAATCTCTGATATATGCATGTAATTCAGTTAATTGTCTGCCACTAGTCTCATGAAAAATATGTAATGTGTGAGTCAAAGCTGTCTAACCCATTCTTGTGACTTGCCATCTGAGATGTCAGAGGCTGATGAAGAAAGACATTGTCATCACTGCCATCAATGCTGAAAATATCTGGTAAACATCAAAAGCATGCCATCACTTGTTGCAAACTGGCTCCTTTTGAGGCTTGATGTAAGGTAACCTCTAATGTAAGGCAGCATAGATTTTGTATGATGTGGAATTATTTGATATATGTATGAAATAAGTAAGTAGGAATGCCCAGTAACAATCAGAAGATCATATTTTGAGGGATCATCAGTGTGTGAGCACAGCAAGCATCTGTTCCTAAAATCAAAATGTATTTTAAGGAAGGATGTAGACAGCATTAAACACATGCATTATAAACAGATCTTCTTTCCCAGTATGCATAAGATTTAGCATATCATCTAAAATTATGGTCAGTTAATTAACATTTGGAATTGCAGCTGCCCATTTTGTCTTTGAAAGAGGGTATTCTGTGAGTGGTGTCCATAAAGTATGTTTACTTTGTGGAGATGTCCTTAAGTGTTGGTCCGGACTACCAACAGTGTAAATGAAATAAATTTTAGCTATAAATGAAGAAAGGCTGATGTAAACTAGCATGCTAAAGGCAGTTTTCTATACTCGGATGTGGATGCTTGCTGTCACAGTAAAACTTCATAAACAATAATCATTACACATGCCAGCCACTTATGATGGCACGAAGCTTTCCAGTCACACAGCTTAGTTTCTTCCGCTTCTGTAGAATACCATTGTCCACAGATTATTATTACTATAGCCACCACATAAAACAAGGTTTTCTGTTTAATTAGTAGTAGAAATTACTACTAACTAAACACAAAACCTTGTTTTATATGGTGGCTATAATAATATGAAATTGAATCACATCTTTTTTATAACTACAACCTTATTCTTATTGGAGTGGCATATCTTAATTCAAGCCTTTCATGACCTTTTATTTTAATTTTATTTCTCTCTTGCAGTAAAATATATTGAATATTTTCTCCATTCTGTGGAATAATCCCTTTCATTCTGTCCCATGCATGTGTCAATCCATCATTACAGGAGCTTTCTGGAAATGGGATTAGTACCAGAATCCTAACATAAAATAACTTCCTAAAGTACCTAGTTAGTCCTTAACAATATGACAGTGGAGTTTTAAGAGTTTTTAGTGAACTATTGTGTTACTTACATACTGGCAACAGAACAGTGTAACTCTGCCAATTAGTGACTGTCCCTATGGGTTCACCACTTGCAGGGTTGTGTGTTGAGTTATAAAATGTTTCTAATTCATATTTCCATCCTGATGTGTTGGTATTTAACACCCAGTTTACATACAAATTCATAGCTTACATGGCTGTGCATAAATTCATATGCCTTGTTGAAGCCAAGAGTACTTAGTGTCAGCACGTAATCTGTATTTATAAAATATAAAAAATTTGGTTCCCTTACTATCATTTTGCAACCTTAAAGAAGAGAAAGCAGGTTTTTCCATGGTATAACTTTTGCCATCACTTTCAGAAATGATGGTTTCTAATACTCTTTGGCAGTGTTTAAAATTGGATTAAAATATTAAATAGATCTCAGAAAGTACTATTTTACAACTGATATGTTGCAGGTAAATGCACAGCCTCATATTTGGGCATACAGTGATTCTAAACAGAGAAAAACATACTCTATTTGCTATGCTTGGCAATCACCACAAAATTGCCAGTGCTCACATACTGATCACCTTCATATCTTATGGGAACACTGTGTTGAAGTCAGCTCCGGGCAGTTTGTCTGCTTGGATATAAGTAGAATTATGTAACTTGGGAAATGATACATGTGATGACATGCATTCAGAAAACATCATCAGCAACCTACAGCACTGTTTTAAATGACCATGACAACTACAATTCATACCTGCAAGGCAAAGCTGCAGCTTATATGTACATGGTTGTGTTTTACCTCATAAGATAAAGTGCTATGAATTCCGGCCATGCATCACCAGGCAGATGAAAACAATCAAATAGACCTTTCAGAATAGCTGTTGTCAATACTCACAGCTTATGGAAATAAAGGACATCATTATACTCAAAGAAATTTTAACCTTGAATAGGAATCCAGAACTGAAGGAATCTGTGATGATGAAAATACTCTATTCTGAACTCTTACTTTATGTAATGGAATAGGTAAAGTATTAGGAAAAGGAATAAAAACATTTTGACTTATAAGTGCAAGTACAACACCAATTTGTCAAAAAGAGATGAAAACAAGGATCACTAACACTACTAAAATTTCACATGATCAACAATAAAAGAGAAGAGACATCAAGAACTTGGTGATAGCTTGGAAAGTATTATTGGCCTCCAACAACAAAGATATCTGTTAGGCTGTAGAAAGTCTACTGAATTCTGTATTTAGAGTCATAGCAGTCAGTCAAAAAGCTTCTCAATACAGTTGCTCTAAACCTGACTGCAAATATATATAGTAATAGATAGTAATTATTTATCTGGTGCAATCAAAATCTTTTGAGATAGATTTAGTCAAACTAATATTAACCTGAATCTCTGTGCAAAAACTGGTCACAGTGAAATGTCCTTCTGTTTGTTCTCAGAAATTAGATCCAAGATGATTTGAAGAATTCAACTGATTAAAAGACTATAGGACAAGGAAGTCTTTAATCTCTATTAGTCTATATTACAGCCATGTATCTTTATTTCCATGATAGTCCTGAAGTGTTTGATATGACAGAAATACTTTTATGGCCATTAGATGTATCATCTACTTCTATTTCTATATGTAAATTGATAAATACAGTCAAACTTCTGATTCTCCTCCATCCCCTTTTCTTATTGCACTTTGACATGTTTCCTGACTAATTAAAGGAATATTTAATTTTATATTCTCTTGGTAGGCAAGTAGGAAATAATCTGTTCATTATACAAATAAGCAAAAACAATTTTGTTGTCTATCTTGTTTAATCATGTACAACTTTTTACAGTTTGTAACTAGGAATTGCAGCTTTTTGAGTCTACAATGAAGAGGTAGTACCTTCTCAAATCTCCTGCAAATATTTGAGGAACTTGATGTATATCTTTCACTGAATCTTGTTCATTGTCCAGTACTCAACACTCAGCTCTAATTTACAGCAGATTATTGAAGTCTTTGCCATCCATTGACATTGCCATCCTTAAGTCTTTAATGAAAATGGCATGGTACACCAGGGCTGATCATCATGGATTCTTTATTTGCATCTTGGAACTACTTGACTTGCCAGATATACGACAGTATAACAGCAGAGACCTACTATTTTTGGTGCCAGCCATTACATACCATTTGTATGTATGGCTTATGACAGTCTGTGCTATTATCAGTGTTTCCAGATCTCATCTTTAACCTGTTCTTTTCCTTCTTTGTATTCTGATGCCTATAATCTGTGTCATGGATATTCAGACAAGAATTTTATGTCTGGAGTCCTTCCTCTACCACAAGTGAGTTCATACACATACATCAATTACCATAACC